TTGTTGTTGTTGTTAAGCACTTTGATAACAGGTTCTGTTTTAAATATGCTCTATAAATAAAGTTGACTTGACTTGACTTTAAACAGTTAAACAGGGGTCATACACAACGGTGCAAATACAGCCCAGCTGCAAAGGTTGTTGTTGTAATCAAGTGTAGTGAGGTAGCTGTTAGCTTCACTACTAATTAATTATTCTTAAAGCTAGTTCAAGCACAAAGAATATTAATTGTTCAATTACAATGGATTATTTTCTTTTTCACGTTAAATTTCTTCCATGTGACCAAGATAACTTGTGAGTGGAGTGTTTAATCAGTGACATGAGACGCCATTTTATCTTTGACCCATCAGAATAAATGCGGTCATTTATTTAACAGAATCAAAATTTAACATCAAAACATGTACACATTGATTTGCTGATCTGTTTCTGATTAATAAACTTGGCACGATTTACTAAACAAGAAAACAGAACATTACTGATTGAGACTGATTCATCTCTGAAGGCATCTAGCTTGATTTACTGGTGAATAGAAGTTTAAAGAGAAGGAATAGATTGAAAGAGGAAGTTTAGATGGATGAAAGTTATGTGTTAAACCAGAAAAATGGCACCCTTCCTCCGAATCCAGCTCAGCCCCCCGGTACACTTCAGGGCATGCAGCGACTTTGTTACCTTAGCAGAGGATACATCCACTCTGGAACAGAGGTCTATTGGCACGCTCCCTTTTCAGCGTCTCCGGTCAGAGTAGCTGGGGTCATCAGAAATTGTGACGAAGTACTCAGTTCAACAGAATAAGCTTCCTTAGAAGTTGAGCTTTTAATGCTCGGGTTGAGTCACAGCCGAGGCAGGCTGTGACTACGCTGGAATGGAGAGACCCTTGGCACATGGTCAAATCCATCCGCTACTTAGTTGACTTTCAGTAAGAACTGAAAGTTCCTATACGACTCGCCATCAGACCGAGTCTCAAGACTGAAAGTTCCAGGAAGACTGGAAAGCCTCGGAAGACTGGAAAAGACTGCGAAGACTCGGAAAGATTCTGGAAGTTCCAGGAAAACTGAAAAGTTCCAAGAAGTGTTGCCTTTTAAAGGGTATCCACTTCCTGTTACGTGGTACTTCCTGATTGGTTGAAACAACCAGCAGGGGTGTAGTTTTAGTGATGTCAGAGGGTTATTAGGAGTCAGTAGACAGCAGGAATGTTTTAAGAACGGTTAGTACAGACAGAAAAATATTTTGAACAATGAGAGAAAACAGGTGCCAGCCAGTTCTTATTTACTGTCTGAGAGTTTTAAAAACAAGACACGTCGTTCTCATAACTTGTCTCTGACTTTCGCCCTCAAATCCACTATTCCTCATTCAGGGAGAAGACTAAATGCACACTTACTTCGTAAATAGACATTTAACTTGTATGATCTAAGTCTAATGAGGTTTAAAAATCAATAATACCGTTTCATAGTTGATTTAAATGGGTGGTTCACTTCAACATTTAGAAATGCTATGAACTAAACACACTTTTGATAATCAAGATATTGTAAAATAGTACTGATAATAAAAAAAGAAGAGTATTCTTTCAATTGATTAATTCAGGATACAATTAAATAGTCTCTTGATGAGATAATTTGTATTTCTGGATTCAAATCAATGAAATAACAGTTCCTGTCTCCTGAAGGTCCTCAGAGACAGATTGATGTCGGAGGTCTTGTTCACTACACAAACATTCTGGATTTGTTTATTTATTTTTTGGTGGGGGGGTGGGGTGTCTTAGGCTGCGCAAGAGAAGCGAAACGTGCTCTTTTCAACTGCGTATGAATGTACGGAGCGCAAATATCCAATATCCAACCTAAAACAAACTTCACCGCAGTCTCGTCACACAAGAAGAGCTGTTGGTCAGGCTACTTGTTGTTCCATGCTCTCTAAAATAGTTATTGAATCAGGTGTTTGCATATGTAGGTAAACATAGATGTTTAACAATTCAAATACACCTGAATATAGGAAATAACATCTAATTTATTAAACATTTTCTGGGGGAGGACCCCCAGAGTGCCCCCCCCCCCCCCACACACACACACACCACCACCACCACCCCCATATTACAAATGTTTCTGACACCAGTGATACTCACTGCAGGATGAGGATATCAGCATAGGGCCTGGCCTGGCATTGTGTCATGTAAGACAATGCTTTCAGTGGGGAGGGGGCTTTTCTTAAAGTGATCTTCTGCATTCTTGTTAAAATGTTAAAAATTGAGATGGCCACATAACAGATTACCTGGTAACACTTTACAATAAGGTACACAAAATCTGATTAACTACTAGGGAACGCCACAGGAACAAATCAGGAACAAATCAGGAGCTAATAGGTAGTCACACTTTTCTATAATATTTTTTACACTGAAACAGTATTTTCTTTTAAGCATAAAGTTTAATTATTAATCATGTACATAGAAAAAATTATCTTTTCACATAATATTATGCAATAATACAGTTTATACTGTGAGTTTAAAGACATCATCGTATGCCATGTATAAAGACACTGTGCAGTGATGTCAACCCCCTGAGATGAGTTCCTACGAGAGCTAAACTATCTAATAAACCTTTCACTGACAACCATTTAGTTGGTAAATGCTGTGGATAGAGCTCTACAAAGCTTTAAAAGTGCTTGGGTCCCAGGTAAAAAAGAACTCTGCAGCTCTTTTTAGGTATCAAGTCTGTTCATTAAAAATCAATTACATTTGTGTTTTTGAACATTTATGGATAATGAGTTCAATGTTACCTATATTACTATGGGTGGTTTTGTGGAAATGAGCAAATACAGGTATTTGTATTTTTCTATATTGTTTACAATTTATGTTTTAATCATTTGTAGTAATTCTATTATTCTCTACCTGATCTGGATACACAAAAGCCTCCATGAGCCCATGTACATTTTTATTGCAGCTTTGTTATTTAACTGTGTTCTTTACAGCACCACCGTTTACCCAAAGCTCCTGATCGACTTTTTATCTGATAAACAGATTGTATCATATTCAGCCTGTATCTTTCAGTTTTTTATGTTTTATACTTTAGGTGGTTCAGAGTTCATCCTGTTGGCAGTCATGGCTTTTGACAGATATGTGTCTATTTGCAAACCTCTGAGATACCAAAGTGTTATGACAAAAAACACTATAAACATGTTTTTAGTTCTAGCCTGGTTATTTCCTGCTTGTCATGTTACAGTAACATCAACACTAAGTGCTAAATCTAAACTATGTAACTTAACTTTAAAAGGAATGTTTTGTAACAATTCAGTTTATACACTTCAGTGTGTCAGACTGGAATCACTTACTGTGTTTGGTCTCGTTTCTTTAATAGATCTTGCAATACTTCCAATGTTCTTTACCATTTTTACATATACAAAAATATTCATAATATCTTATAAAAAGTGTAAAACATTCAGGAAAAAAGCTGCTGAGACCTGCATACCCCACCTGCTGGTTTTAATCAGCTACTTCTGTTTGATGGCATATGATGTAATTGTAGCTCGAGTGGAGACTAATTTTACCCAAACTGTTCATTTTATAATGACTTTGCAAGTGCTCTTATATCAACCTTTGTTAAATCCATTTATATATGGGCTGAAAATGAAAGAAATTTCTAAACATCTAAAACGTATTTGTTAAACCAAAGTCTAATTAGTGTGTAACAGTGTGTGCAATTTTAGTCTGTTGCTCTGATGATGACTGCACACATCTGAACTTGTTTGTGTTTCAATATCATCAGGAAAAAATCACTAAATATTCTGCACAGACCTGCTTGTTCTGTTACTTCTAATCACTTTTGTAATTGTTTTTCTAAAAGAAAAGTGCTAAATTGAAATCAAATTAGTAAAATTTGGTGCAGTAATATAATGTGTTTATATTGTCCTTGTCTTATATTTGAATGTAGACAATAAAGGCCATGCTATGACTTTATAAATGTACGATAAAGGTTTTATTTTTTTCTGACTTCTGTCACTGTTTCAAGTGACTGTGAATTTGAGGATACAGTATGATTCTACAGATAGTTTGTTTGTAATATTTTATATTCTAAACTCAAAATATACTTTTAGTTTTATATGATTTTTTTAAAGATTTTGTTTTCCTTTATAATATTTAGGGAAAATTCTACACATGCATCAAAATGGATGAATATAAAATCAGTTTTGACAGAAAAAAGAATCATGTTAAATGTAATCAGAGCTGCTACCGTGAACAATGATGTTTTATTTTCTGTAAACTTCACAGACGAATGTTCCTCAATTACAATTAATACATCTGACTCTACTTTTAGCAAACTAACAGTGGGTGATTGAAGTTATCGGCCCTGTTTGTTCCCTTAAAGCGGGGACACTGAGGACTGGATGCAGCCACAGCTGATGTGTTAAAAACACAACTTCCTGCTGACAGACAGCGTTAGGAGAGCCATAAGTGTGCTAGTTTGTTCAAGTTGTCAAAGTTAAGCCAGGTCCTCTGGGTGGATTCAATAAGAATTTAAATAAAAAATAAAAAATAAAAATAAAAATGAAACTTTACTTATCCATATATCTTTATATATATCTATATCTGTATCTATATATCTATATCTATATCTATATCTATCTATCTATCTATCTATCTATCTATCTATCTATCTATCTATCTATCTATCTATCCATCCATCCATCCATCCATCCATCCATCCATCCATCCATCCATCCATCCATCCATC